AATATATTCGTCCACGCAATAAACTTGTGCTTTCTGATTCGTTAGAAAAACACAAGTGTGAGATCACATACCTTCCGTATTTGGTAGAGATTGATACAAAGATTTTAGNTATATAGAAGATGTGTTTAATTATAATGAGAGTCCAATCATCAGCTATATAGAAGATGTGTTTAATTATAATAAGAGTCCAATCATCAGCTATATAGAAGATGTGTTTATTTATAATGAGAGTCTAATCATCAGCTATATAGAAGATGTGTTTAATTATAATAGCTAGGAGTCAAGATGTGAGATTTAAACAGCTGTGAATAAAAAAAAATGGCATTTGGTTATAATTACTCCTGAATGAACAATGTCTATGTTATCCAGGAATGAGACCTGCAGGTTGGACTGCCAATCAGAGCCAAACAATTAATTCTACCTGATTGTCATGCAGAAAATTAATGCATGATGTAACAAAAAATTGCCATTAAGTTAACATAAATAGAAATTTGTATATAGACATGCATGCACCTAGTGAGAATTTCAGAAATTCTAATTCATTCAAAAATTTTATGTGACTAAAAATGATACCAAGGTAACACAACTGTTGCTATGGTGATACACTGTCCCTTACTTCAAACGTTCTACAATCACAACATCATTATTTCCCTGTATCATAAAACACTTGGAAATATTGATTTCCGGATTGATTCAATGGTGATCATCATTTCAGTAAGATAATGACATGGTACATGATAATTATATGGGTCAGCAGTGATGACAGAAAAACATGACAACAGCAGTAATGAAGATCAAAAGGACAAAGATAATCTTGTTATATTAACTCTTCATTGTTTTTCTCTATCAAAACCTCAGATATTGCCTTCAGCTTTAAGATAGTTATTAAAATTATATAAACAATTTTTCATGAGCAAACATATAGTTCATTTACTGTATTTGCATAATGAAAGTGATTGGTTAAACCTTATATTACGTTTCTAAATTTCCAATTATTTCAGTTAAATTTTTCCTTATTTTAAAAATTGTAAGAAATTTGGCTGTAATAACATCAAATGGAACTGTTTTGTTGGGAAGCACCAATAGTTAACATTGAATCGTTAAAAACATCAACGCACCTGACAGTCCACCGACATCCATCTTTTTGAGATTTTTGGCCTCCAGTATGACGACTGTCAACTTGCCAGCAGTGGGTACATATCGCAGGGAGAAACAAATGTCTCCTAGCTTGTTCTCCTGTAAAACAGAAGTCAAACACAAATAATAACAGTAATAATAATTCGTGGTTCTTCTATTCTGCTTTATCACAACCTAGTTTGTAGGTCGTCTCAAAGTGGTTCACAAATTATCATCTGTGGTTATAGGGCCTTTGCAACCAGCCAATATCTTTCTCAACTCCCTGGGGAGCCGGCGCTCACCGCTAATATTCAACAATGCTATCACTGCTCAACCACATACTCATTCACAGCTAAGTAGATTGGAACAAGCGGAGTAAAGCATCACGTTCAAAGATACAACAAATACCTCAATCTTTGATACTGTTAATCAGTGAAAAGTAGACAAATAATTCAATAGGTGTGATAGTTATTTAGTCATTTTTCATTTATACAGTAAGGTAATACATGTTTTAAACAAATCAAGAACCACTTCAGTTCTAACAATCTTAAAACCAAACATCCAATACTGTGTGAATATGTATTTTCTAGTAAAATGTGACAATAACACTGCACGACACGAAGCTTGAAAGAGTGTCCAACAACTTGACTCGGACATTTCTTTTCAGTTTACTAATTCGATCATTCTAAATCTGAACAACCTGGCCCGTATGTATTTCCCAGTTATTAAATTTATACTTAATCTAACAACTTGACCAAAATAATTTCCTTCAGTTCTGTAATTCATACCAAACTTAACAACATGATTGAGCTATTTACTGTCTGCTTTGTAATTTATAATGATAAATAATTTCAACCTAATACAACATAGAAGCTCTCATGTCTTGCAACTAGTTTCAATATTATCTTTGAAAATATTAAGAAAATAATGTGCAGGAAAATGTTTGCTACCTTCTCAGCATCAGCGTCGGGGCTGGTTAGGTCCCGCCACTCCTCAATGGTCTGACATAAGTCCACTTTGTTCATCGGTACTTTCACCTGGCCAATCTGGTCGTGCTTGGAAAACCTATCAAAGTCGTAGATGGAGAAGACCAAAATCTTCTGGCCGATTTCAGCAAACGGGACATTCTGGAAGGTAAAATAAATTGTTATCACTTGATTGTCAAACCGTCTTAAACAATGGGTTATCTGAGTAGCTGTCTTAGACAGAAGTACACTGATGTTTGATTAGTTTAAGGTGACCTTTGCTTTATACTAGTTTACCTCTTTCTTCCATGTTATTTACCACGATTAAAATCATACTATCAAAACACTTGGTTTCAAAGTTCAATACATGATTTCACCAAAAAAAATATTCTGAAGAATCGTATTCCGTCTTTGCGTATTGCAGAGTTATCTTCTCTTGAGAGCAGGTATTGATTGTTACGTCATTTGTTTTTGAGAGTAACGTCATCAATTTTTGAGAAAACGACGTAATTTTCTCACACAAACCAATGACGAAACAATCAATATCTGCTCTCAAGAGAAGATAACTCTGCAATATGCAAAGACAGAATATGGCTGTCAAGGTTAAATTTTCTTTTAATTGAATATTTCTTTATTTCAAGATATACATGTATATATATTTAGGGGAAATCAAACATGAGTGTAAATACAGTATCTTGTTTGTTAAAACACTTCTATGACACAGATAATGTATCTGTTCATTTTGTTTTTTGTTTTTTTGTTTAAGTAATTTCAAGAACAGTCTTGAAAAAATAAGTACATAATTATGTTGATGATTTGTTTTTTATATAGTATATGCTTCAACATGAACAACTGACCTTGAATACAAACGTCTCGTTGAAGACAGGGTTGAGTGTTTTTCGATGGACTTTGGTCTCGTGCTTCTTTTTCTTGTCGGGGAGGAAGAAAACTTTGACATATGGATCAGATGTCCCAGACATGTCCATTCCAGGTAGGTCAGCAGCTTGTATCACACCAACGGCCAGCTAGACAGCACACAATCATCACAGTCAACACCTACTTACATACTATAACATTTTCTATAATTCACCTTAAACACAATAACTAAGTAATGGTTTATGTATGTGAAAATAACTAGGATACATTGAGAATGATAATGGGTATTTTCCAGGTATTTTGATTTCATACAATTAACTTTTTCTGAATAGGTAATTACCTCCCCTTTCTGGAAGTCGTACTCGAGGGAAAATTGAAGCTTTCCCAATTTGACTTCAGATTTTGTGCTCTCTGCATCTTCGTTATCTTCCATGTTCACTTGTAGTTCCTCTAGGTCAGGTTGAACCTGTAAATAGGATGTGGTTCTTTACTAAAATTCTGTGTTACAAAATGTAATAGATAAAACATTCCGGATAATTGGATATTCAGTCATTAGTTAGTAGGATCAGATAGGGTTTCAATTGTTCAATTCACATTGAAAGGAATATATTCATTAGTTTCTGGATTTTTTTAACTTTTATACAAGCTATTTCAAATGAATCAGGTAGAAAGTAATTTTGGTGTTCTGGCTAGATTTTTGTATGCATACATATGCAAGACCACAAACTACTCGCACTCGTAAATATATTCGTCCACGCAATAAACTTGTGCTTTCTGATTCGTTAGAAAAACACAAGTGTGAGATCACATACCTTCCGTATTTGGTAGAGATTGATACAAAGATTTTAGAAACTTTGATATTTTTTGCAAATACCGGGAACTTTTCAGTTCGCCGATTCCCATAAAAAGTAGTTCCAGCTAGTAGGTAAATACAACATTCCGTATTGCACATGTGCAATACAGAACGTTGTATTTCATGGTCTGAAAATTGCTTGTATTACTATAACAAGATTCAACAGGTATGTGATAAAAGCTATTTATCATTAGTTTGCATATTGTAAAAGTAGAAATGTTCTTGTTGTGGAAGTGCTTGTGTATTTGCGTTGAGTGAATTAGCACGATAATATCCAAACGCCAATATTATTTATAGATTATATAAATTATACATATATAGAACATATAGATTTCAGATCTATTGCCCAATGCAAACATTGTGACATCATCCTCATCAGTTTACAGAATCACAATGTGAACATTTATTTCTACCTGCGAGAATTTCCACATTAACAGAACGGCTGACATATCTACAATAACTTGATCCTGTGGATAATGTTGATAATGTACACTTCAGTTCAGTAGGAGGAAATTGAAACAAGCCGAGATGTAACACGTCCAGTGTCTCATTGTACATACTTTTTCTTTGATAGCATTTCCCAGCAATGCCACACTCTTCAGGTCGACCGCTCCTTTGAGCCCCTTCTTTTGATCTTTCTTTTTCCTCTTCCGACATATACATCGTTTACATATACAGTAGAGACAGCAGAGTAGGAAGAGCCCAGCTCCGATAGCAATGAGGACCAACGCCCAGATTGGAAGTCCCACTGTAATACAAAATATACCATCACATTGGCACAACTCGCAGTAGCTTATAATGAACAACTGCAATGTGTGATCATGTTCATAGAAATATTTTATCTATTTCATATATGAGCAAAGAACTTGACAAGCCTGTTCACAAGTGCTTCATTCTGGTCATAGCATTGTACAACTTAAACAAGATGCTTTGCAATATCATTCACAAGTTTAATTCACCATTTTGTTATTATTTATGAAACCATTGTAAATTTCTGAAAGAAAACATGATTTGATTAAGATATATGCATCGTCCCTAGATTATTTTAACATTTCTTGAAAAATATGGTGTATTCTCATTGATCAGTGTCTTTTAGAGTTAATCAAAGACTCTGAAAGACTCTAGATTACAGCAACTTTATCAACGCTATTTTTCATTCTTTAAGAGGTTCATAGGACACTCACACTTTTGACCCAGATCTTCCTACTGAAGATCAATCCTGACAAAGCCACAACTTACATGATTCTATTTTATCCCACACCATGTCTTTGAATTTGTTGAAGCCGGTGGCTGGTGTGGTAGCGAAGTCGGTGCCATTTCCGTTGGGTGATGTAACATCGTTGCCTCCCCCTGTGACATCACTGAGGGCACTGGCCACTGTCGTGACCACCTCCTTCGCTACTGTGGCTGACATGTCCCGCCGCAGTCGAAGAAGGGTGTCCATATCTAGGACCGGCATAGCTCACACCACCCTACTCTGAAAGTAAACAAAGAGTAATAATGTACATCAGTTTATAATCACTAACACATTTGTTAAAACATCACCAAAACATCTTTGTCAGCAGTGAAAAGCAAAACCTAACTTCATCTTGGAGTTCAATTTGTGATTGAATCAAGCAAAAGTATACTTATTTAAACGTAGAAAATGATATGCAGGTGAAGTGAAGGAAATACATCAAAGATTCAGAATTCAAAATACAAATTTATATACCTTGAGCACTGACTAATGACAAGGAATATCCATGTATTATGTCTTGATTGCAGCTGGTAAAACCATAGAGTTACCTGTACACATTGCACACATTGCACACAATGAGAATATACATCATATATTCCAGAGCAGAACAGAATATCTATCAGGTAATATATATGTAAAAGAACACTGCCAAATCATTACTAATGTGTACTATATTAAAAGTTTGACTTGATATGACTTTGCCAGCATGTTAATATACATAATTGTCATATTCGGGAAACGTTATCTGTTTCTGTCACAGCCTGAAACATCTGCGTAACAGCAGACATTCATCAATCACTTTATATGCCTAAACCATTAAGTATTCAACCCAAGTCTCTACACATAAAATTACCTCACACAATTTATTATTACATACATGTTTCTACCATAATTGCATATCTATCAACTCCCAAGCAGGCCTTCCACGAGGTTATCATTCACTATTTTATTCCCATCACTTAGAGTGTTGATTCGCTTACATCAGCAAACCTAATCACCAGAATCATTGCATGGCAACTTGATCCTCAACATATTTGTAATTTTGGTTGAAACATCACAGATCAATTGCATGTTCATAGTCCATAAACACGACAGGACTGACCCGAGTGCAAAGGTTGAACATTCTTTACTACACATATTGAAACCCTGAAATCATGAACAACTCATGCTGTACCCCAGGAGGTTGAATATACAGATAGCCTGAAAACCTGATGAATGCCTGTCAGTTGAATATCATTGAATAAGAAATGATGACAGTTGAATACCATTGATGAACCCCTGTCCATGGAATATCCTTGAACAAAATATGATGGATCTATGTGAGTTATGATACTATATATATAGCTCAAATTCTCCCTCTTGATGGCCAATGACCTTTGCGTAAAATCCTTAGACTGGTCATCTTATTGACCGTAATCAAACACCCTTGTTTACAGCATGTTTTTGGTCCAGATATGACCACACCACAGGTCAACCTCAGGCCAACCACAGGTCACTGGCATGGATCCGGATCACACCCAATTATGATGTTTACATATTCCAATAGTTTAAAAGTGAACATATCATTCTTGTATCAAATCTATTCTAAACCTTTGGCATGGTCTGGCCTATTTTTACTGAAATTTTTATACTCATATATGTATATGAATACCTGCAACCAACCTCACTAAGTTGAATGTAAAATAGATATAGGCAATCATTTCATCACTTTGATAAACTGATTTTGAAACATCTACACAGTGCACACACACAGGAGCCAAATAAAATATTATTTGACTTTGTCAGTCGATAACACTTATAGCAAAGAGATGTGATACCTTTCCAATAGTAATGTCCCGTGCTATGTGAGTATCATGTCATATACCCATAGCTTATGACACCACTGTGTACAGTCCATGAGTATCATGTCATATACTCATAGCTTATGACACCACTGTGTGTAGTACATGAATATCATGTCATATACTCAAAGCTTATGACACCACTGTGTGCAGTACATGAGTATCATGTCATATACTCATTGCTTATGACACCACTGTGTGTAGTACATGAGTATCATGTCATATACTCATTGCTTATGACACCACTGTGTACAGTCCATGAGTATCATGTCATATACTCATAGCTTATGACACCACTGTGTGTAGTACATGAGTATCATGTCATATACTCATAGCTTATGACACCACTGTGTACAGTCCATGAGTATCATGTCATATACTCATAGCTTATGACACCACTGTGCGTAGTACATGAGCATCATGTCATATACTCATTGCTTATGACACCACTGTGTGTAGTCCATGAGTATCATGTCATATACTCATTGCTTATGGCACCACTGTGTGTAGTACATGAATATCATATCATATACTCCTTGCTTATGACACCGACACCACTGTGTGTAGTACATTAATATCATGTCATATACTCATAGCTTATGACGCCACTGTGTGTAGTACATGAGCCACTGTGTGTAGTACATGAGCATCATGTCATATACTCATAGCATATGACACCACTGTGTGTAGTACATTAATATCATGTCATATACTCATAGCATATGACACCACTGTGTGTAGTCCATGAGAATCATGTCATATACTCATAGCTTATGCCACCACTGTGTACAGTCCATGAGTATCCTCCCATATACTCATAGCTTATGACGCCACTGTGTGTAGTACATGAGCCACTGTGTGTAGTACATGAGTGTGTAGTACATGGGTATCATGCCATATACTCATTGCTTATGACACAACTGTGTACAGTCCATGAGTATCCTCCCATATACTCATAGCTTATGACACCTCTGTGCGTAGTACATGAGCATCATATCATATACTCATTGCTTATGATACCACTGTGTGTAGTACATGAGTGTGTAGTACATGGGTATCATGCAATATACTCATTGCTTATGATACCATTGTGTGTAGTACATTATTATCATTTCATATACTCATTGCTTATGACATGATGCTCATGTACTACGCACAGTGGTGTCATAAGCAAGGAGTATATGATATGATATTCATGTACTACACACAGTGGTATCATAAGCAATGAGTATATTGCATGATACCCATGTACTACACACAGTGGTGTCTTAAGCAAGGAGTATATGACATGATATTCATGGACTGCACAGTGGTGTCATAAGCTATGAATATATGACATGATACTCATGGACTGTACACAGTGGTGTCATAAGCAAGGGGTATATGACATGATACTCATGGACGACACACAGTGGTGTCATAAGCTTTGAGTATATGACATGATACCCATGTACTACACACAGTGGTGTCTTAAGCAAGGAGTATATGACATGATACTCATGTCATATACTCATTGCTTATGACGCCACTGTGTGTAGTACATGAGTGTGTAGTACATGGGTATCATGCCATATACGCATTGCTTATGATACCACGGTGGGTAGTACATGAGTATCATGTCATAAACTCATTGCTTATGACACCACTGTGTGTAGGCCATGAGTATCAGGTCATATACTCATAGCTTATCACACCACTGTGCAGTCCATGAGTATCATTAATTGTATCACCACTGTCTTGCTTATGACACCACTGTGTGTAGGCCATGAGTATCATGTCATATACTCAGAGCTTATGACACCACTGTGTGTAGTCCAGGAGTATCATGTCATATACTCATAGCTTATGACAACACTGTGTGCAGTACATGAGTATCATGTCATATACTCATTGCTTATGACACAACTGTGTGTAGTACATGAATATCATGTCATATACTCCTTGCTTATGACACCACTGTGTGTAGTACATGAATATCATGTCATATACCCCTTGCTTATGACACCACTGTGCATAGTACATGAGTATCATGTCATATACTCATAGCTTATGACAACACTGTGCGTAGTACATGAGTATCATGTCATATACTCATAGCTTATGACACCACTGTGTGTAGTACATGAGTATCATGTCATATGCTCATAGCTTATGACACCACTGTGTGTAGTCCATGAATATCATGTCATATACTCCTTGCTTAAGACACCACTGTGTGTAGTACATGAATATCATGTCATATACTCATTGCTTATGACACCACTGTGCAGTCCATGAATATCATCTCATATACTCATAGCTTATGACACCGCTGTGCAGTCCATGAATATCATGTCATATACTCATAACTTATGACACCACTGTGTGTAGTACATGACTATCATGTCATATACTCATAGCTTATGGCACCACTGTGTGTAGTACATGAGTATCACGTCATATACTCATAGCTTATGACACCGCTGTGCAGTCCATGAGTATCATGTCATATACTCATTGCTTATGACACCACTGTATGTAGTACATGAGTATCATGTCATATACTCATTGCTTATGACACCACTGTGTGTAGTACATGAGTTTAATGTCATATACTCCTTTTTTATGACACCACTGTGTGTAGTACATGAGTATCATGTCATATACTCATTGCTTATGACACCACTGTGCAGTCCATGAATATCATGTCATATACTCATAGCTTATGACACCAATGTGTGTTGTCCATAAATATCATGTCATATACTCCTTGTTTATGATACCACTGTGTGTAGTACATGAATATCATGTCATATACTCCTTGCTTATGACACCACTGTGTGTAGTCCATGAGTATCATGTCATATACTCCTTGCTTATGACACCACTGTGTGCAGTCCATGAGTATCATTAATTGTATCACCACTGTGTTAAGTGTTTATCACCAATGACTAATAATTAGTGTTGATTCTCACAAATGACTGTAATAATAAGAGTGTTGATTCTCACAAATGACTGTAATAATAAGTGTTGATTCTCACAAATGACTGTAATAATTAGTGTTGATTCTCACAAATGACTGTAATAATTAGTGTTGATTCTCACAAATGACTGTAATAATTAGTGTTGATTCTCACAAATGACTGTAATAATTAGTGTTGATTCTCACAAATAACTGTAATAATAAGAGTGTTGATTCTCACAAATGACTGTAATAATTAGTGTTGATTCTCACAAATGACTGTAATAATTAGTGTTGATTCTCACAAATGACTGTAATAATTAGTGTTGATTCTCACAAATGACTGTAATAATTAGTGTTGATTCTCACAAATGACTGTAATAATTAGTGTTGATTCTCACAAATGACTGTAATAATTAGTGTTGATTCTCACAAATGACTGTAATAATTAGTGTTGA